AAACTTGGTAGACATTCACAAGAAGACGTTTCATGCCAAATATCTAAGCTCTAGCTCTTACGGTTCTTTAAAAGAAGATTTTTAAGTTTTTACTATATGCATATAGGGAAAATCAATGACCCTCGGGGCGGGGCCAATTTTGACCCAGGGCTTTAATTTGAACAAACTTGGTAGACACTCACTAGGAGATGTTTCATGCTTAATATCTTAGCTCTAGCTCTTAGGGTTCTTTAAAAGAAGATTTTTAAGTTTTTACTATATGCATATAGGGAAAATCAATGACCCCTGGGGCGGGGCCAATTTTGACCCCAGGGCTTTTATTTGAACAAACTTGGTAGATACTCACTAGAAGATGTTTCATGCCAAATATCTTAGCTCTAGCTCTTGAGGTTTTTAAAAAGAAGACTTTTTAAGTTTTTACTATATGCATATAGGGAAAATCAATGACCCCCTGGGGCAGGGCCAATTTTGACCCCAGGGCTTTTATTTGAACAAACTTGGTAGACACTCACTAGAAGATGTTTCATGCCAAATATCCAAGCTCTAGCTCTTAGGGTTGTTTAAAAGAAGATATTTAATGATTTTTGTTTCGGTTGCCCATGGCAACCAGAGTTCTGCATGGAATTAAATTCTTTGAACAATTTTTCAAGGTGACCACCAAAGGAACATTCCTGTGAAGTTTGGATGAAATTGGCTCAGTGGTTTATGAGGAGATGTCATTTAAAGCAAAAGTTTACGGACGGACGACGGACAAAAAGCGATCACAAAAGCTCATCCTGTCATTTTGTGACAGGTGAGCTAAAAATGAAAACACATGTGCCTTGCCAAGGACATTTTCTGATCAACCAAATAATAATGAAAACACATGTGCCTTGCCAAGGACATTTTGTGGTCAACCAAATAATAATGAAAACACATGTGCCTTGCCAAGGACATTTTGTGGTCAACCAAATAATAATGAAAACACATGTGCCTTTCATATAGTTGTTAAACCAAATTGCCCTTGGAAGCATGTGCCTTTCTTACCAAATAATCATGGTTTAAACCCTGTGTCATGAAAACGGCTAAAAACTTATAAGTCCAATCAACATCTTTCATTCTTGCCACTGAATTAATGAAAATATATTTTTCAGATATGACATTAACAGTTTAAAAATACCTCTGGTGCTTCAACTAGGGGTGGCAACTTTGCTGTACATATTGACTCTCCGAGAACTGATACAATTGGATACATCGATCCGTTTGGTTTTAGCTTTTCATCAGGGTTTTTAGGTGGTTGCTGAAAAAATAAAATAAAGGTCAAGGAGTGCAGACGTATTGTAAAATATTAATTAAAACAAGAGGGCCATGATGGCCCTGAGGTCGCTCACCTGTATATAGCCCCCCCCCCCCCCCCCCCCGGCCCAATTTTTACCCAAGGGCTTTTATTTGTTTATTTGAACAGACTTGGTAGACACCCATAAGAAGATGTTTCATGCAAAACATCTAAGTTCTAGCTCATTAGGTTTTTTAAAAGAAGATTTTTTAAGTTTTTATTATACACATATAGTTAAAAACAATGACACCCCTCGGGCAGGGCCAGTTTTGACCCCTGGGCTTTTATTTGAACAAACTTTGTAGATATTTACTTAAAGATGTTTCATGCTTAATATCTAAACTCTAGCTATTTGGGTTTTTTCAAAGAAGATTTTTAAGTTTTTGCTATACACATATAAGGAAAATCAATGACCCCCGGGGCGGGGCCAGTTTTGACCCCAGGGCTTTTATTTGAACATACTTGGTAGACACCCATTAGAGCATGTCTCATGCTAAATATCTTAGCTCTAGCTCTTTGGGTTCTTTAAAAGAAGATTTTTTAAGTTTTTACTATATGCATATAGGGAAAATCAATAACCCCTTGGGCGGGGCCAATTTTGACCCCAGGGCTTTTATTTGAACAAACTTGGTAGACATTCACTAGAAGATGTTTCATGCCAAATATCTAAGCTCTAGCTCTTACGGTTCTTTAAAAGAAGATTTTTTAAGTTTTTACTATATGCATATAGGGCAAATCAATGACCCCCCGGTGCCGGGCCAATTTAGACCCCAGGGCTTTTATTTGAACAAACTTGGTAGACATTCACTAGAAGATGTTTCATGCCAAATATCTTAGCTCTAGCGCTTTCGGTTCTTGAAAAGAAGATTTTTTAAGTTTTTACTAATATGCATATAGGGAAAATAAATGACCCACTGGGGCAGGGCCAATTTGGACCCCAGGGCTTTTATTTGAACAAACTTGGTAGACATTCACTAGAAGATGTTTCATGCCAAATATCTAAGCTCTAGCTCTTACAGTTCTTTAAAAGAAGATTTTTTTAACTTTTTACTATATGCATATAGGAAAAATCAATGACCCCCTGGGGCGGGGCCAATTTTGACCCCAGGGCTTTTATTTGAACAAACTTGGTAGACATTCACTAGAAGATGTTTTATGCCAAATATCTAAGCTCTAGCTGTGACGGTTCTTTAAAAGAAGATTTTTTAAGTTTTTACTATATGCATATAGGGAAAATCAATGACCAACCCAGGGCGGGGCCAATTTTGACCCCAGGGCTTTTATTTGAACAAACTTGGTAGACATTCACTAGAAGATGTTTCATGCCAAATATCTAAGCTCTAGCTCTTAAAGTTCATTAAAAGAAGATTTTTTAAGTTTTTACTATATGCATATAGGGAAAATCAATGACCCCCCAGGGCGGGGCCAATTTTGACCCCAGGGCTTATATTTGAACAAACTTGGTAGACATTCACTAGAAGATGTTTTATGCCAAATATCTTAGCTCTAGCTCTTTGGGTTCTTTAAAAGAAGATTTTTTAAGTTTTTACTATATGCATATAGGGAAAATCAATGACCCCCTGGGGCTGGGCCAATTTTTGACCCCTGGGCTTTTATTTGAACAAACTTGGTAGACATTCACTAGAAGATGTTTCATGCCAAATATCTAAGCTCTAGCTCTTAAAGTTCATTAAAAGAAGATTTTTTAAGTTTTTACTATATGCATATAGGGAAAATCAATGACCCCCTGGGGCGGGGCCAATTTTGACCCCAGGGCTTTTATTTGAACAAACTTGGTAGACACTCACTAGAAGATGTTCCATGCCAAATACCTTAGCTCTAGCTCTTACGGTTCTTTAAAAGAAGATTCTTTAAGTTTTTACTATATGCATATAGGGAAAATCAATGACCCCCCGGGGCGGGGCCAATTTTAACCCCAGGGCTTTTATTTGAACAAACTTGGTAGACACTCATTAGAAGATGTTTCATGCCAAATATCTAAGCTCTAGCTCTTAGGGTTGTTTAAAAGAAGATATTTAAAGATTTTTCTTTCGGTTGCCATGGCAACCAGAGTTCTGCATGGAATTAAATTCTTTGAACAATTTTTAAAGGTGACCACCAAAGGAACATTCCTGTGAAGTTTGGATGAAATTGGCTCAGTGGTTTATGAGGAGATGTCATTTAAAGCAAAAGTTTACGGACGGACGACGGACGCCGGACGGACGACGGACGGACGGACGGACGGACGCCGGACGAAAAGCGATCACAAAAGCTCACCCTGTCACTTTGTGACAGGTGAGCTAAAAACAAAAAATTTTGTTCGATCGATCGAACAAAATTTCTTTTCATTACCAAAACTTGTTAAATCAAATGAAATTTAAAACAAACATTTTGTTCGATCGATCGAACAAAAATGTTCAAACACTGTATTTGAAAATTTCATTCCAAATCTGTACTAAAAAAATTAACATTTTGTTCGATCGATCGAACAAAATTTCTTTTCATTTCCAAAACTGGTCAAATAAATGAAAAATTTAAAATAAATATTTTGTTCGATCGATCGAACAAAACTGTTTAAACACTGTATTGAAAAATTTCTCTCTCAAACTGTACAAAAAAAAAACCCTAAAAGATTTTGTTTGATCAACCGAACAAAATTTCTTTTCATTACCAAAACTTGTTAAATCAAATAAAATTTAAAACAAACATTTTGTTCGATTGATCAAACAAAATTTTCAAACACTGTATTTGAAAATTTCTCTCTCAATCTGTACTAAAAAAATTAACATTTTGTTCGATCGATCGAACAAAATTTCTTTTAATTTCAAAACCTGGTTAAGAAATGAAAAATTTTAAATATTTTGTTCGATCGATCGAACAAAACTGTTCAAATACAGTATTGGAAAATTTCTCTCTCAAACTGTACAAAAAAATTTAACATTTTGTTCGATCGATAGAACAAATATATATTTTGTTTGAGCAATCAAACAAAAAGGGCAAACATTTTATTTCTTTTTTCGACTAATCGAACAAAATTTCTTTTCATTAAATCAAATGAAAAATTTAAAATAAAGATTTTGTTTGATTGATCGAACAAAACTGTTCAAACATTGTATTGGAAAATTTCTCTCTCAAATTGTACTAAAAATACCAAAACATTTCGTTCGATCGACCGAACAAAATTTCTTTTCATTACCAAAACTTGTTAAATCAAATGAAATTTTTAAAAAACAAACATTTAGTTTGAACGATTAAACAAATATATATTTTTCGATCTAACAAATGGGTCAAACATCTTATTTCTTTGTTTGATTAATTAACTCAATTGATCTATAAAATTGATCGTTTGTTTGGTCAAATGAACAAAAAAAATCTGATAAAAACTCAGGTATAATAAGAATCCCCCTTTGGATTGAACAAAATGCTATACATAAGCATATTTCATTTGGTAGAAAAAACATGTTACATCCAATAAATAATGTAAAAAACCATTTTATTCAAGTGATAAAAAATCGGGTATAAGAATTCCTCTATAAGACATTTTGTATGGTTGATCAAACAAAAATGCTATACAAAACTTTAAAGCATATTTGATTAGATAAAAAAACATGTTGCATGCCATGAAAACATGAAATTATCATTGTTCAGTCAATCAAACAAACAAATTCTGAAATAAATAAATAAAGTCAATCGAACAAAAAAGATATACAAAAGCATATTTCATAAGGTAGAAAAAAAACATCCAATGAAAATATAAAATTGACATTTTGTACAGTCAATTGAACAAAAAATTCAGATAAAAATTCAAACAAGAGTGCCAAGATGGCCCTTATATCGCTCATATTATTACAAATGCTCAATCCCATTTAATTTGGACTGTGTGACCTATTTTTTGAACACAGATAACCAGGGCTTCCATAAAGTCCCAAAATTTGGAAGTCAGAGACTGCAAAATATCTAACATTAGAAGTCACATTATATAGGTAAAGAAGGAAAAGCATTACATTATGGAAGTCACAAGCCAAAATCAAAGAGTAAATAACTCCCAAACTTCCATTAATGGAAGTCCTGCAGATGGAAGACCAATATTCAAACTTGACCAAGAAATCACCAAATCGACCTTTCTGACCAATTTTAGGATTTTTGGATCACAACACTTGAACAGTAGCCTCAACGGTGTAAACAAGGGTTTTCTGTATAAGGGCTGTGTGACCTAGTTTCTGAACACAAGTGACCCATAGTCTAATTTGACCTGGAAATCATCAAAACAACCATTCTGACCAATTTCAAGGATATTTGGACTGGAACAGTAGCCCCTAGAGTTTTAACAAGGTTTTCCAATAATTACACCGTATGACTTATTTTTTTTTACCCAAGGTGACCCATATTCGAACTTGATCTAGAAATCACTCTTAATGACCTATTTCCAAGATATTTGGTTCAAAACAGTAGCCTCTAGAGTGTAAGAAAGGTATTTTTTCCATATCTGGAGTGTGTTACCAAGTTTTTTTACCCCAGATGACCCATATTCAATAATTGAAACTTGATCTAGAAATCATCAATTTTGACCCCAGGGCTATAATTTGATTAATTTTGTAGTGTTTTATTAGATGATGTTATGATCAAATTATCTAAGGTCTAGGCCTGACACTTTCAGGGGAGAAGATTTTTAAAGATTTCATTTCAAAAATCTATTTTTAGCCCTCCTGTCCCAGATGTTCAATTGAGAAGAACCATTTAAACAATTTTAGAAGAGCATCATGATAGCAACATCACCTGTCTCATCGAACTCATGCGAGCAATTACCTAGACAAGCATCCTGACAAGTTTGATAACAATTGAGCCAACAAGAGCTGTCACCCAAGTGACAAATGCCCCCGAAAAGGTTTCTTAAGCATGCAGGTTTTATGAAAAGAAAAGAGAATGAAAGTAACTAATTGTTGAATATTGTTCTTGATAGCATGAACCTTCAAAATATAAGTGTGTTCAATTGAGAAGAACCATTTAAACAATTTTAGTAGAGCATCATGATAGGAACATCACCTTTCTCATAGAACTCATCCGAGCAATTACCTAGACAAGCATCTTGATCAAGTTTGATGACAATTGAAGTAACAAGAGCTGTCACTCAAGTGACGAATGCCCCAGAAAAGGTTTCTTAAGCATGCAGGTATTATGAAAAGAAAAGAGAATGAAAGTAACTTATTGTTGAATATTGTTCTTGATAGAACCTTCAAAATATAAGTGTGACCTTGACCTTTGAAGAAGGGACGTGGTTCTTGAACGTGACAAAATGTTGTTATGAGATAGACAATTGTGTGCCAAATTATTTCAAAATCCCTCTATGCATGACAAAGTTACAGTCTGGACATGGTTGTTGTGTAAGTGGGGACACACAAACATTCATGAGCCTTAGGCGTGACACGGTCTTGATGTGGTAGACATTTGTGTCAACTTGTTTTAAAATCTCTCCATGTATGACAAAGTTACAGTCCGGACACGAATTAAGTGGGGATGCACAGATGGACAGACGGACGGTGCGATTATATTATGCCTCCCTTGGGGGGGGGGGGGGCATAAAAAACAAGAGCTGTCAGTAGGACAGCAACGCTCGACTATTCTTAGTGCTTGATAGTAAAAAAAAATAAAGCTTCAGCAAATCATTTCTGCACAATGAGATATATCCATCTACAATGAATTAAGTTTCACTAACATGTTGATATCTCCAGTGGGTCACAGGATAGACAGATGAACATTCTGACGTCAGTATACCAAACTTAGTTGTTCAGGGTTTATGGAAACATAATGATTCCAAGTGTGTTATAGCACAACAGTGTTTATTCTTTCAACATGTTGCAGATGTACTATTTAGCACTGAAATTGCACCTGTCAGTGTGTGAATTACAATAACTCTCAACATCTCTTTACATCCATTCAGATATTGTCACAAAAAATATTCAGCAGCCATCTTCATTATCAAATGGAAGTTTCAACAAAACTTTTGCAAAGTTTATGCACATGTTCCATGATCCAAATAATTGTTTTTGTCCCTCTGAGATGAATAGGAAAAATCTTCTTAACAACAAAATCTGAAAGTAAAGAAAGAATAGAATGTAAACATTTGATATTTAGAAAGAGGATGTTTTGAGCATAAAAATTAATATATTTCTATTTCAGTGTATTTCATTGCTTTGAAAACTAAAAATTATGTTGTCAACAATGTATGCTAAAAACAAAGGTAGAAGAAAGTACTCAAGGGAGGTAACTCCGGTAGATCAACCTGTGAAATTACAGATGATAAATCATTGTAGGAGTTAACCTAGTATTATCATAGTTTGTTTAGGCATCTATTGACATGTTTATGCCTCGGTATAAACAAAAATATATTTTAATTTCTTTCACTGTTGTTGTTGAAACAAAAAAACATGTTTTTCACCTGCAGTTTCGTACTCAATATTTTCGTACCCAGTCTACAGTTACGGACATTTTTTTCTCAGACCAATACTTTTTTTAAGGAAAGATAAAAGAATCTTGTTTATTTTTCTTTAATTCTAATTTCAACTATGATTGTTCAAACTGGAGTACATGATAAGGTACATGCCAACAGAAATAAAGAAAGAAAATATTGACTCCTAGAATATAAAATAATTTCAGAAAGTTTGGGTGCCATATACTCTTTCATTTTGGCTTGTGACTTCAAAAATCAAATACTTTTCCTTCTTTACCTATAAAATGTGACTTCCAATATCAAAGATTTTGAAGTCTTTCACTTCCAAATTTTGAAAATGGAAGCCCTGATAATTTTGCTGTGTATCCTAAACTTGAGTTCCAGTATACTCTGGAAGTTTTACTTTACAGAGCATGTTTTGTATTGTTTCACATTATATCAGTATTTTATTTGTATAGTTTTTCTAAAAAAAAGAAATAAACAAAGAAACAAAAACAATAAGTTTAATTTTTTCATAAAAAATGCAAAATGTTTTTGACAGATTTTACCCCGTCAGTTTTTTCAGAATTTGCATTTTACCCCTCACTCAAGATTGCTAGGGGTAAAAACCCCTTGGCCAAAAAAATTATCTGGAGCTCTGAATTGGTCTATATTAAGATTAGTTCATATTTATATCACTCTTACTTTTTGTGAAAGACTAAAAGTGGGAGGTTCGGCACAGGCATAAATGATAAATTTGTTTATAGAGCTAAGCCAAGTTATTTTCACTGAAACAATATTTACAGTCAGGTTATAAATTATTTAACCCATTACCCGATATACACCCCTTTTAACGCCTTTTTCACCCCCCCCCCCTTTTGTTGTCTCAAATGGTGAAAAAATGCCTTATTTAGGGCCCCCAACACTTTTGTTTGTGAAATGTTGTTTATAAAAGTGACCACTTTTTCGTCCAAGATACATCAGGGGGTTGCCAGAAGGGGGATGTGCCTCTTTCTGTTTGGGGGTTTGAAGGGGGGCGAAAGCACTTTGAAATCAATTTAGATTGAAAAAATCAACACAAAATTCTGTCTAATGTATCTTTTTAGCACTGCCACATTTTGCAGCAATTATACAAGTATTTATTTATTAACTGTGATTGAAATATCCAGTTCTTGAAGGTTTTGTTTGATTTGATTGGGTTTTACTTCACATCAACACAGTATAGGTCATATCGCAACATTCCAGCTTTACTGGTGGAGGAAGACCTCAGGTGCCCCTCCGTGCATTATTTCAGGCACAAACGGTACAAGTAGAACCACCGATGTTCAGTAAGCTAGCTGGATAGCTTCCTCACATGAAACAAGAGGGCCATGATGGCCCTGAAGTAGCTCACCTGTATATAGGCCCCCGTAGCGGGGCCAGTTTAAACCCCAGGGCTTTTATTTGAACAAACTTGGTAGACACCCATTAGAAGATGTTTCAAGCTAAACATCTATTTAGGTCTAGCTGGTCAAGTTTTTTCTTTACATATATAGTTAAAACAATGACACACCTGGGGCAGGGCCAGTTTGGACCCAAGGGCTTTTATTTGAACAATCTTTGTAGACACTTACTAGAAAATGTTTCATGCTTAATATCTGAACTCTAGCTATTCTGATTTTTCAAAGAAGATTTTTAAGTTTTTGCTATACACATATAAGGAAAATCAATGACCCCGGGGGTTGGGCCAATTTTGACCCCAGGGCTTTTATTTGAACAAACTTTGTAGACACTTACTAGAAGATGTTTCATGCTTAATATCTAAACTCTAGCTATTTGGGTTTTTTCAAAGAAGATTTTTAAGTTTTTGCTATACACATATAAGGAAAATCAATGTCCCCTGAGGCGGGGCCAATTTTGACCCCAGGGCTTTTATTTGAACAAACTTTGTAGAAACTCATTAGAAGATGCTTCGTGCTTAATATTTAAACTCTAGCTATTTGAGTTTTTTCAAAGAAGATTTTTTTAAGTTTTTGTTATACACAATTTTGACCCCAGGGCTCTTATTTGAACAAACTTGGTAGACATCCATTAGAACATGTTTCATGCTAAATATCTTAGCTCTAGCTATTTGGGTTCTTGAAAAGAAGATTTGTTTAAGTTTTTACTATATGCAAATAGGGAAAATCAATGAATCCCTGGGGCGAGGCCAATTTTTCACCCCAGGGCTTTTAATTGAACAAACTTGGTAGACACCCATTAGAAGATGTTTCATGGTAAATTTCTTAGCTCTAGCTCTTTGGGTTCTTTAAAAAAAATTTTTAAGTTTTTACTATATGCATATAGGGAAAATCAATGACCCCCTGGGGCAGGGCCAATTTTGACCCCAGGGCTTTTATTTGAACAAACTTGGTAGACACTTACTAGAAGATGTTTTATGCCAAATATCTAAGCTCTAGCTCTTTGGGTTTTTCGAAAGAAGATATTTAAAGCTTTTTTCTTTTGGTTGCCATGGCAACCAGAGTTCTGCATGGAATTAAATTCTTTGAACAATTTTCAAAGGTGACCACCAAAGGAACATTCCTGTGAAGTTTGGATGAAATTGGCTGAGTGGTTTATGAGGAGATGTCTTTTAAAGTAAAATATTACGGACGCCGGACGGACGGACGCCGGACGAAAAGCGATCACAAAAGCTCACCCTGTCACTTTGTGACGGGTACGCTAAAAATCCCAGTCAACGACTGTAACCACTTGGCCATGAACAACCCATTTCTTGAAGGTAACTGCTTCTATCCAAGATATGATCTGAGAAGTGGTCAATTAAACAAGAGGGCCATGATGGCCCTGGGGTCCCTCACCTGTACATAGTCCCCCAGGGCGGGGCCAGTTAAAACCAAAGGGCTTTTATTTGAACAAACTTGGAAGACACCCATTAGAAGATGTTTCATGATGTTAAGTTTTTACTATACACAAATAATGAAAAACTTTTGCCACCCCCCCCCCAACCCCCTGGCAGGGCCAATTTTAACCGAAGGGCTTTTATTTGAACAAACTTGGTATACACCCATTAGAACATGTTTCATGCTAAATATCTTAGCTCTAGCTCTTTGGGTTCTTTAAAAGAAGATTTTTAAGTTTTTAATTACTAATAATATGCAATATAGGGAAAATCAATGACCCCCTAGGGCGGGGCCAATTTTGACCCAAGGGCTTTTATTTGAACAAACTTGGTAAACATCCATCAGAACATGTTTCATGCTAAATATCTTAGCTCTAGCTCTTTGGGTTCTTTAATAGAAGATTTTTAACTTTTTACTCAATGTATATAGGGAAATTCAATGACCCCTGGGGCGGGGCCAATTTTGACCCCAGGGCTTTTATTTGAACAAATTTGGTAGACACCCATTAGAAGATGTTTCATGCTAAATATCTGAGCTCTAGCTCTTTGGGTTCTTTAAAAGAATTTTTTTTAAGTTTTTACTATATGCATATAGGGAAATTCAATGACCCCCTGGGGCGGGGCCAATTTTGACCCCAGGGCTTTTATTTGAACAATCTTGGTAGACACTCACTAGAAGATGTTTCATGCCAAATATCTAAGCTCTAGCTCTTTGGGTTCTTTAAGAGAAATTTTTTAAAGTTTTTACTATATGCATATAGGGAAAATCAATGACCCCCTGGGGCTGGGCCAATTTTGACCCAAGGGCTTTTATTTGAACAAACTTGGTAGACATCCATAAGAACATGTTTCATGCCAAATATCTAAGCTCTAGCTCTTTGGGTTTTTTAGAAGAAGATTTTTTAAGTTTTTACTATATGCATATAAGGAAAATCAATGACCCCCTGGGGTGGGACCAATTTTGACCCCAGGGCTTTTATTTGAACAATTTGGTAGACACTCATTAGAAGATGTTTCATGCTTAATATCTTAGGTCTAGCTCTTTGGGTTCTTTATAAGAAGATTTTTTTAAAGTTTTTACTATATGCATATAGGGAAAATCAATGACCCCCTGGGGCGGGGCCAATTTTGACCCCAGGGATTTTATTTGAACAATCTGGTAGACACTCACTAGAAGATGTTTCATGCCAAATATCTAAGCTCTAGCTCTTTGGGTTTTCTAGAAGAAGATGTTTAAAGTTTTTTCTTTTGGTTGCCATGGCAACCAGAGTTCTCCATGGAATGGAATTCTTTGAACAACTTTGTTAAGGCTTCACACAAGGAACATCCCTGTGAAGTTTCATTATGATCTGCCTTATGGTTTCAGAGGAGATGTCGTTTGAAAAGTGTGAACGGACAACGGACGACGTACGACAGACGACGTCGTGTACGACGGACGAAGAGTGATCCTAATAGCTCACCCTGAGCATATGCTCAGGTGAGCTAAAAATGCATGTTGATTGTGGTCCAAAGTAATTCTGTTACAGTAGTAATTGGAACAATTATACATGTAGCTGTCTCATCCAAGGAGGATATTAAATTTAAAGAAGTGAGTTCATATATTTGCAGGCAATGGGGTGTGAATGGCTGAAATGGACTTTGAAAGCACTCCATGCAATGCATTGTCTAAGGCCATCCTTAAAAAAATGTTTGTTTGCAGTAACGCGACCGACTCACAAAATTTGCCCCTACTCAAAATTTTTTTTCATGGTCTGGATAAAAAAATTTTTTTTGGAATCAGAAAATTATGCCTTGTGCTTTGTTTTCATTCTTTAAAGATTAATAGAAGAAATAAAATGTAAGTCTTATTAAATTAGAATTCAGTTATCAATTTATTAATTGTTACCAGATTATCAAAGCATATATTGTCCAGCATTTTGAAATTCCATGTTTATTTGGGAGTACAGTTCAATAAAAAAAAAAAATCGACCTACCTACCCACCTTGGAAATTCTAGGTTGGGTTACTGCAAACAAACATTTTTTTAAGGATGGCCTAAGTACTAACATTGCCTGCATGAACCAATTCATGTTGATTTTTATCCTATCATGCACACAGAAATTAAAACATGTACAGTAGAACTTCTATGAGTCTAACTTTGATAAGTCGATTTTCTCCATGTGTCAAAGTAAAATGTAAGCCCTGAAGCTGCACAGATGATTTCCACAAGTGTAAATTACACAGTGTTATGTTCTAAAAGTCTTTGTATGCGTTTAAATATATGAAAGTAAAGTGCTTTAATTGTTACCATTAAAATTGCCGTAGTAGTATAAATTGAAAGGGGCTGTTTGAATTAGTTAACAGTAAGAACTATTTTCATTTGAGAACTTCCGTGACCTGGTGTCAGGATATATTTATACTATAAACTGGTTAAGTTCTTGTTATACATGTACCTTTTGTAACTTGCTTGTAAGTGTAAACGGATCAAAATTTTTATTTTTAAATTGAGGCAGAGTCAAAATCCTGATGTATAGAAGTTTTTCACTCAAGTCCCTTCAACTTCAAATTACCAAAGTTCTACTGTACTTTAAAATTCCTTAAACACCACATCAACTTTGTACTTGACTGTCAAAATTTTTACTTACATTTCCTTCTTTTGTTTTAATTATAATCAACAGTCTCCTCTATCACATCTATTTTTCTTGACTGAGTCAACAGGCTTAGACCCTGAAATTTAAAGCAAGTATTTCTAAACTATTGTACTAAAATCTGATTCCAACAAACTAATTTAATTTTTAATTGTGTTATTTATTTTAGGAAAATAATAATAAGGGTAAATAAATACAGATAAATGCTAAACCTGCTCAATTTCTAAAATGGACTTTGTCTAGCTTTCAATTTTGGGATTTAATGTTTGTCAGCTAACAATAAAGCCTGTCTGTTTACTGGTAGTATTTTAAGGTCAGTCACCTTCGGATCCACTAAACCAGCAGATTGCTATACTGAGTGGAAAAAATACAAAATTCCACACCCCTGGATTTTGCTTTTTAAGTAATATTAAAGTATTAATTCATTTACTTTTCATTAAACTTTTTAAGCCTCTGTATGTATTTCATAGAAATTAGATGGAAATATCTATCAATGGTTTATTAAGAGGATTTCATCAAGTCGAGAGGTATGAAAATAAATATTTCACAAGTGGCAATAGCAACTAGTGAAATATGATAATTTTCATACTACAAGATGAAAATAAATCCTGTATTAATAGAAAAAAAACTTGCTCAATTTCTATTTATTTTAATTTATTATATATACTTAATTTTTCTCTTTTTTTAACTTCATGAATAGGAAAAATTCCGTTTTAATTTTGTGTAGTGGCTCAGATATAAGAAGAAAGTAGTCCAGCAAGACACCAGCAAAATTATTGTGAACAATTATGGCAAGTATTTACAAAATTCCTTCATAGATAAGAAAGTTATGGACCGTACACGACATATACCCTAAAATAGACAATGTTGACCTCGAATGAGCAAGTGCGACCTTAACCCTGGAGGTAGGGGTCTGGTTGTTGTGCATGACACATCGTCTTATTATAATTAACATTTGTGCCAAGTTATTTCAAATTCTTTTCATAAATGACAAAGTTATGGTCCAGACACGAAAGTGTGACGGACGGACAGACAGACGGAGCCTATTTCTATATCCCCTTTTAATCTTTGAAAAGGCGGAGGACAATTACAGTTACCTCAGAGAACTTTAAAAATAAACAATGCCTGGGGAATTCTAGTTTGAATGCCCATGTCCAATAATTGACACCCTATTCCTGATCAATAAATTATTTTGAACAATATATTTGCAGACAACACAGAAGAGAAAAGGTTCGTTCAGGAAGCTCTATTTCTTTGGTAAAATCAACTCAACATCTCTTAGTCTTACTCACAGGTGCTTGAAACAAACTTTTTAAAGTTTTATATGGGCTATATAGATCTAAAATAATAAGATATCTTAATATACATATACAGACCGATTATGTAAAATATTTGATTATGTGACTCAGCGCCTGTGGTAAAGTAAAAGAGCAACATCGAAAACATGGCTATGCTGGACAGGTCACAGGTGCTAGTGGCATTGATTTGACCTAAAATGTGTTTGACCTTGTTATTTATACAATAAAATATCAATATATTAAAAAAAAAAAAAAAAAAAAAAAAAAAATTTTTTTTTTCACTGTTATATTATTTATATATAGACAAGGTATGCAACATTCAGGCACGAAAATTATGGGTACGCCGGTTACCTGTGTTAAAATTTTTCACCGGGCGGTAATATCGTCGGATTTTTGCATGGAATCAATGCAAAATATATTTTTCTATTACAATTTACTATTTACAGATCCCCAATTAACCGCTAGTTAATGTTTTAAAGCCCGAAAGTAAGAAATCACCCAGGTCCGAAAGATGAGACCGTCATGACATGTACATTTTTATAAGAATCTTACACCGGCTGCCGGTACAGACCAGAATATCTAGCTCGAGGGTAACTGTTTACGGCGGTAACGAGGCTCTGCCGAGTTTCCGCTTAACAGTTACCCGAGAGCTAGATATTCCCGTCTGTACCAACAGCCGGTGTTTGATTCTTTTTCTTGCATATTAGTCATGTCAATTATTTTCGGAACAGAAATTATGAAAACTGATATTCTCATTACGCACTTTTTTCTTATAGTAGCGTATGAACTTACAACTTCATTCATAACGGAAAAATGACGTCATCCTTAGAACGCGATTCATTCATAAAAGGCACGCGTCAATGACGTCATTTAAAGCACGCGATTTGTCTTACATGGGGGGTGTAAGACAGAGTTTTCTAGCACCGGTGTAAACGGTAGATAATCCTGTCTGAGATGCAAGAAAAGCTGGTATTTACGCTTGAAATACAGTTGACTCTCAATATGTCAAAATCGCTTTACTCAAAATTCCGCGTTAGTCGAAGTATTTCTAAAGTCCCGTCAAATTTCCTTCTTTATCTTTGTATTTTAACTCCGCAAATTTTGACTTACCGAGACTCCTGTTTAGTCGAAAAGAAAATTTGGTCCCGTCAATTAAAGTCCAACATATTTTCATCTCAATTAGTCAAATTGGAAAACAGCCGACTGATCATAGGTCGGCAACATCAAGGTGAAATGTTGTCTCTTGTGATTCACACGTTCCATAGAAATTTTAATTGCCGGTCATCATGTATTATTAACACTTCGTAAAAGTGGCTTTAATTGGTTTCAGGACTTTATTGGTTTTAACGGTTAGATAACAAAATTAAGACGCGTGCCAGTCTGACAGGTGTTAGACAAAAAACAGCTTCGGTATTGATGTGTGTTATCAACGTAAATGACATTTGTATAATTAATGTTCCGTCATATTGCATACATTAATATGTACTTCCGGTTCACGATAGTTGCTACTTTCGTTTTCGTCCGATGATCAATTCACTTCAAATATTAGATAATTTGTTGTTGAAATAAAAGTGTTATTGTGCTTTTATTGTAATGATACGTCATGAGTGCTTATTATAAACATGTGCTTTACTGATGAATACTGACAAACTTGCATTTATGTCATTGCTACGAATGTTTGTGTTTATGTTTCACTATTAATATACATGTATTAAATCATATATTTTTGTTTATAATTTGTAGTTGTAAGTGATTTACCATCATTTCAACGGTTAAATTTTGTAGCATTACCGCTATCAACAATAATAAACCTAATTATTTGTACATTCAATCAGGCACATGTATATACATGTACGAATGTCAACGTAATGGCGGCAGATCCACCTTACTCGAATTCCGTTTCTCTCGAAGTAAAATGCCCAGTCCCTTGGATTTCGAGTTACCGAGAGTTAACTGTACATCAACAAAGAGATCAAACGGGTCGAACTCACATGCAAACAACTGGATTTTACATACTTTCAAATGGTTTTATCCTCCACGAGTCGAACTTAGTCCTATGAGCCTGTATTTAAAGAAAAATCCTACATGTATACGATATTTTTAGAAAGTAATTCCTACCGGAAGTATTCTCCGGCTTCCGTTTCACATACATTGACAAAGAGCGGAACAGGGAACCAAGCACGATTTGCGGGAGAACACTTCCGATTTAGGAATTACCTTATACATGTAGAATATTTCTTAAAATACGGGCACATAGGACTTAGTGCCGCTCGTGGAGGATAAAACCATTTAAAAGTATGTAAAATCCAGTTGTTTGCATGTGAGTTCGACCCATTTGATCTCTTTGTTGATGTATTTCAAGCATAAATACCAGCTTAAAATGTACATGTCATGACGGTCTCATCTTTCGGACCTGGGTGATTTCTTACTTTCGGGCTTTAAAACTTTAACTAGCGGTTAATTGGGGATCTGTAAATAGTAAATTGTAATAGAAAAATATATTGTGCATTGATTCCATGCTAGTACGACTAGCCAGGACACACTGTATTGGCTAGCCGTACGGCACTTTTCAAAATTATATGGAAGTTGAAAATGCATTTGTTATTTTGTGTCTTTAAACAACGATTTTAATCAAATCTCCGCATTTGTCCTAGTGTGTTCACTTTAATAAAGATGCTACGCAATTTTGCACAAAAAAATAAATACGAGTAAGCGTTGTATAATCTATCTTAATAAAATTGAATGTCAAAGTTGCATGTTATAACGTCCTTAATTTTCATGCTTATGAATTGTATGAAAGATGAATTGTTAAATCTGTTAATTAAGCACATGGATCGAATAAATAATGATCGGAGGGAAGTAAATAAATAAATAAAAAGAATATTAAAAAAAACGGTGAAAAGGAAAAATAATTTAGTAATGCAAACTTTTCTTAACAAACTTCTATACCGGCGGTAATTGACGCAATTATCAGAGCCCAGCAACAATTTTTTTCGGTGTTTTTTTTTTTTTCAGTTTAAAAATTAAACTTAATGAAACAACAATAGATTATTATCAAATTTTGTAAACTAATTCAATTCATGTTGTTTAACTGCAACCAAACGCTATTTTTTCTCGACGTCTTGAGATGACAAAGTAAATTATTTACTGTAGCCAACACATCGATCTAAAAAGTAAACATTCTTGACTAAAACCCTCGCTTAAAGTCATAAATAACATATGCACTTTCGCCTTCAATATATATTTTTGAAAAGTGCCGTACGGCTAGCCAATACAGTGTGTCCTGGCTAGTTGTACGTGACTCACGTACGGCTAGAACTTTTGGCTAGCCGTACGGGCCCGTACGGCTAGCCACTTCCTAGTTTAATCAAACAATGTTGACAGTGACATAAGACATCTTTTCATTGTAAAATTACATGACTGAATGTTTCGATTTTCACGTGCATGAACAACTAACTTTCCTTACCTGATAATTAAATTGTGTTAGATTTTTCAATATCAAGGAAATGATTAGGAGTAGCTATTTATTGTGAGATATTTATAAACATTGAAGTTAACATTAAATGCAACAAGTACAATGTATCTAATTGTTGATGATTTTGGTAAAGATTTTATCTTTTACGTAAAATATATAAGAGGTATCGTAAATCTTTCAAGGTACTTGAATTGGCGTTCAAATTCATGAAAATTGTCATTTATGATTATTATAACTATGAAATTTTAATATACCGGTTTAAAACACAGTATTCTGGGGCCAATTTGGTAAAGGGCCGAAACGTCTTGGGTAATTTGGGACCGATATGTCTAGGGGCCGAAACGTCTCGAAATCGGTCAAACACATTTTAGGTCAAATCAATGCCACTAGCACCTGTGGGACAGGTATCTAACATTGATCTGTCAAAGTTTTGTACGATCCGTAGACAGATTTTTATCTTATTTGTTAAAAAAGAAAAAGTGCGATTTGGGCCTCCAGAATATTTAAATGGTACGTTATGGTACGTAATCTCCAAAAATGGTTCGTAAAATCCAGGTACGTTTCCTCCATGACCACGAAACCATTAGTATTTGTTGACATAAAAATAATAAACTCGCCAAAAACTACGTTTTCGTTCTTCCCTAACTCTAATTATGTTAATGATAAGAAACAATGCTTACCTTCGGCCTTCCTCATCATAAAAACTCCTTTTGAAGTTTATTATATATCCGACACAAAAGCTTTTTATCTACCATCTACCGAGAATGCCCTGTCCTGCTAATAATGTGGCAATGGCACTTAATGACGCAAAAAAGTGGACGACTTCATTTTTCGAGCACTTGAAGGGGTGTTCGGTCTAATTACAATATGTTTACAAACGTTTAAATGATATTTCTTATAAATCAACATTTCAATTATTCATAACCGATAGATAAGATAATTTAATTCTTCTATAAAAGAATAGTACTGTCACGAAAATTGTGTCTTGCATACCGAGTACCTGACTCCCCCGTGTAAGCGTATCGACTTGACCGTCGCCGCCAAAACTCTTTGAACTGCCTGTGTAGTTTAATTACACACAAAGCTGCGGTTAAACTGGTAAAATAGACGCGATGGTTAGAATCGCTGTCATTTATACATGCGGGTTGTTTCTTCAAGACTTGGTGAGTAATTTTGCATCTAATAACTTTTTAAATGAAATTGATTGCAAACATGCTTTTAAATACCATCTAGAATAAATAAAATATGTATTTATGAAACCTTCAGTGGACCCGTTTTAAACGGAATACATTATTTATATCTTAAAACTTAACAAATTGTACTGTCGTTTCTAACCATGAAAGTGAATTGGTTTACTTTTTTTCCCAGACAAATGTACCATTTGATGTACTGGTTTAGACCACTGATCTTTGATCATTCACACACTTCGTTTTTCCAGAATAAGTAATTGTAAAAAATAGCCCAAAATGAAAATCATTTAAACACTTTTCACTCAAATCTGGCTTAAAGAAAAGCATAATAAAAGATTTTCAATTTATTTATTTATTTTCATTCAATTTCATATATATGAAGTATATTTCATAATTATCTTTGCATATATTTCTGTTTAAAGTGCCCCAGCTCATTTATTTAAGACATTTAAATGTATTGTTTTTTTTTTATATTTTTTTATTGGCTTTTAAACCTCAGTGAAGTCCCTTTAATATTCAAATGGAAACAACAAGAAAAGGAAGTAATATTACAGATTTTGTTACTGTTAGAGATCTACATAATTTCTGTTGATAGTAATATAATATTGTATACGGCTTTTTAAATAACATTTGATTACTTTATCATTTTTACTCTTTTTTTTGTAAAATTGAATATTTCTATCAATGTACATGCAATATCATTTTTAGTTTTTATGTTGAAAATGGTAGAAATGAAAATATTTTATTGATATTATTATAATAACCAGGTAATTTTACTGAAAAACTAAATGGACTGGAGTAAATATTTTAACTAATTATACAAATAAGTTGATCTACATTTTTAAATGAATAAAGTATGAATAGTTTCTGATAATTTTAGAGAATTGGAATCTATGCGCTTGAAATTTAGGTTATAGGTATAATGATGTAAGTTATGTACATGTATAAATAAAAAAAGTTCTGTTCTGATAATAAAAAGTTGGTCCTTTACTTTTTGAATTACAATGATTTAGTAACCCTTAATTCTCAAACTGCTATTGACAATGACATATTAGCTATGATGAAAAAATGTTTTTTTCTTGAGGTATTGAGCTGTATATGCATATTAAACAATTTGGCTTGTATTTTATGACTTTCCCAAAAGTCCATGGTATAAGTTGCCAAAGGGTGATATACAAGCACCCAGTCAGTTAAATAAACACTGACCAGCCAATAAACAACTTCACACTCTAAACCATATAATATTAAAACATCAACATTTAAGTGCAAAAAGGAAGACTGTGTATTTTAAGTTTCAGAGTACACCTAATTAGCAATGAAAATAAAAATATGTTTTTCTTGTGAATTGAAAGCAAATTTTAAAGTGTTTAATTTGCCTCTAGTTAGAAAATTATATATATATTTAATAAAAACAGAAAAACATAATTATATCACTGATGTAATTCAGATCCGTGATTATATTTATCTTTAAAATGATCCAAATGAGTTTTCAAATTGAAGTTTGAACTTTGGACCATAATAGAATGTATTTAAGTGACCAATAGATGTTATAGGTGTTCCATGTATATAAATAGATATTAGAAAAATTAGCAAAAAAATCTTTTTGATCATGTTGTTGCATTTATGTGACCTGATTCTAAATAAAAGTATTTGTTGTTGTTGTTGATAAAATGCCATAACTTGATTTGTACATTTGACTGCAGTGAAAACCCAAAATTAATTTTTTGCTAATCTGTGTATTTTGAAGATATTCCAGGTATAGTTATTAGTATGTATACTGTTGTAGAAGAAATGCAGCAGATAAGTTTACACATTGACTTAAGATTTAAAACCTGTTTTTAAAAATAAAACATAAAAATTCATGTAGTTATTAATTTTACTGTTACAGTAAATTTTTAAAGCAATGATAATAAACAAAATTAATTATCCATGAGAAAAAGGTTATATATAACAGAAAGTACAAAAGGGAAGTTATTCTATAAAGCAAATGTGCCCCAAATTTTTTTGTGATAGCATTACCCAAAATAAAGATACAGACATTTTTATACCCTAAAAATGTCCAATTTTACATGTAATGTGTTAGCATCTGTTTTTTTGGTGTTTTTAGAATTAACACCACTATTATCTGTTTTAATTTATCACTTAAATTTTTTTACATGCACATAGAAAATTTAATAACCTTTCCAGTGATATATAATACTTGGTATACATCATCCTGGTTTTTATCGTTAAGATGATTTTAGTAAAATCAGACTTTTGTAATGCATCAGTTTTTTCAAAATTAAGTTGTTAAGCAAACAAGTATACCTTTAAGCAATTACAAATAAAATAGTACTTTATTGTCTCAATCTAATGAACTATGAATTAAAAACATATGTTAAGTGTTTTCAATTCAAATTTTCAAACATTTTTACCAAAATAGGCATTTTAGTGGTAAAAAAAATTTTGTGATGAAAAAACTGTAACATCCGTCCCCCTCTCATTAAATATCCAATTATAAAACAATACTCATAAAAAACAATGCTTGTGGTGCTTAATGATAGCCTTACAATGAAAATGTTATAAAAAATGCCAATTTCTATGTTTATGAGAAAAAAAATACAATAATGTAAAAGTTGTCTGTAACATCCGTCCCCGTAACATCCGTCCCCCTATATAAGATGCTTATTAAATCTCACATAAACTGTAACTGGAAAGGGAATTTTACACTAAAACACAAAAGTTACAATGAAAAATGAAGAAATAACAGAAATAAAGCACTGAAATGATGTATTTATAAAAAAAATATTATTTGTGAACACGAAATTCCTTAATTTTGAAAAAAAAAATAGTATTTTTTGCTCTGATAACAAAATTATTTACTTTGAAATAAAATTTATATTTTATTTTTTAACATCAAGTGGACCTATGAGTTTATTAAGATAATATTTAAGCTTATATGAATTTATAACAAATATAATCTTTTGTTATTCTGTGTTTACAAACTAAGGGTACAGAAGGGGACGGATGTTACAGAATTTAACTAAAAATTCTTTTTACAGTAATACTAAACTTATCTTGTTCTTATGATGCATGAAAGAGAAGTAGTAAGCTTTGCAACTGTATAGGAATGTTTCACACAACAAATAAAATACTATTTAAAAAAAAACTAGAAGAAACAAACACAAAATCCATAACAGGATAATTATATAGCAAGAGGTGCCAAAGATAGAGATGTTGAAAGTATCTTTGTGATTAAAATTGGTCAATTGTTAAAACATAAATTCTTAAGCCTTAAATAGTTAACAAACCATGTATCCTAGCCCCTCATAAAACAGTGGGATATGGATCCTAACTCCATACACACAGAAGGGGCTTGCACTTTATTGGAAGTTAACGAGCTGTATATTGGGAGCTGTGTATATTGGGAAGTGTGATATATTACAAAACAGTAGGGGGTGCCAATTAAGGGTGATATATATTATGCTTAAAACAGTGGGAAATACTACCATATCTGTTTCAAGAATGTCTGTCATTAAGTAATAAAGTTGAAGATCATTTAAGTCAAAGGATTTATTGAACTTCAAAATTTTATAGGCTAAATATGTAGTCACTGAAAAATAAACAAATAAAAAAATATAATTCAACACCCTGATTAAAACTTTTAGATTTTTTTTCCCCCGAAAAAAACTCAAGCACATATTTTCATACAATTTGGCCCATTTAATTATTGTTAATAAAGTGAAAGAAACATGTAAGTAAAGGATAAGGTAAGAATTCCTGTAATGAAAAAGTTAGAATAATTGTGAAAATTATTCTGTAATATAAACCCATCGCAAATTATTTTGCACCTATAAATTTTATTGAATGACAAATTAATTCATTAAGTTAAAGCAGTTCATGTACACTGAAATATTTACACAGAGAATTATTAAAAGTTAGAAATAATGAGATTATGATACTGAATCATAATGAAATCTTTGGATAATGCTGCTAACATACCACATTAATTTACTTAAAATTTCATCAAATCGATCGAACTTAATTGCAGCAATTTAAAATCTTATAATTTTTAATGAAAATTTTTAATTGTGTATATAATTTATGTATTTAGTAATGAGAAATTCAAGCTTGCATATGTTTCAATCTGAAAACTTATTTACTTCACACTGTATCATATCTTTTACAAATATAAATTTTATTATTTAACTAATTTAAAAGAATTTTGTAAATAATTTCATGTATAGGTATGACATTTTCTTTTTAATGTTAATGCATTATCTGGAAACAAAGATTCTTTTGTTTAATTAGCAATGTTTTTATTTTATTCCAAACATATCAATGTTCATTCAAATGTAAGATAAATGGAAGAAAACTAAGTCCTGATGCAACTTTTCATTGTGAAACGCAAATAGTAAGAAACTCCATAATTGCCGGGTATGTTTCTACATGTTTCTCATAATTTGTTCAATTATTTTACATTTATTGTACTGTACAAAGCATATACTCTTATAAATTATATTACTTTAAAATAAAACCAAAAAAAAGTATGAACTATGAGCTTTAAACATCTATTGTAACATCCGTCCCCCAAAAAATGCAACATTTTTGGGTTATCTGACAAGAAATACACAAAAGAAAGTCCTATAATTTCTATTGTTTTATAAGAAATGAGTTTGCATATTTGATTTAAGTATGATTTGGTGTACCTATCCTTGTTTTATTTCTCTCTGTTTCTAACATGTTGGAAAATTTCATTTTGTGCGAAAAATACTGAAAATTTGAAAGCAAATATTTTTATATCTAAGATGAATTTTCTGGAATTTTTTTTGTAACATTAATCAGAACACATAATGTTTTAATAAAATAAAGAGAAATAATACAATTTTTATTATAAACTGAAAGATATTCAGACTTTTAGTATATCTTTGTAACATCCGTCCCCTACCCACACAGTCCGCAAGAGATGTAATATTTTGAAAAAGGTATCCAAAAAGTTATCCTTTCTTTCCAAAAATATTGTCATAGACACCCTAAGGTACTTAAAAAGAGCAAATATTGTCTTGTATGTTTAACTTTATTTTTTGACTTAGATGCTAACACAATTGGCCCATTTACTGTGCAACAGGCAATTTACATTCATATAATTAACATATTTCTAATCAATATAGAATTGTTTTAGCAATATTAAAACTGTTTATTAAAAACTAGATTTATATTCACAAATTCAAAAATGTAGCTAAACACTGGATTCCGGTACTTTATGTACACAGCTCTGGGGAATTCACCTAAAGGGCCTGTAGTAATTTGGTAACTACCTGTATGTTTTTGTTATTTTTAGCTCATTTGCACAAAGTGACAGGGTGAGCTTTTGTGATCGCTTTTCGTCCGGCGTCCGTCTGGCGTCTTTTACTTTAAATGACATCTTCTCATAAACCACTGAGCAAATTTCATCCAAACTTCACAGGAATGTTCCTTTGGTGGTCACCTTTGAAAATTGTTCAAAGAATTTAATTCCATGCAGAACTCTGGTTGCCATGGCAACCAAAAGAAAAAACTTTAAACATCTTCTTCTAAACCCAAAGAGCTAGAGCTAAGATATTTACAAATGTAGCATGAAACATGTTCTACTGGATGTCTACCAAGTTTGTTCAAATAAGAGCCCTGGGGTCAAAATTGGCCCGCCCTGGGGGTCATTGATTTTCCTTATATGTGTATAGCAAAAACTATAAAATCTTTTTTGAATAAAATCAAATAGCTAGAGTTTAGATACTTAAAGCCTGAAACATCTTCTAGTGAGTGTCTACAAAGTTTGTTCAAATAAAAGCCCTGGGGTCAAAATTAGCCCCGCCCTGGGGGACATTGATTTTCCTTATAATTTATGTGAATAGCAAAAACTTAAAAATCTTCTTTGAAAAAACCCGAATAGCTAGAGTTTAGATATTAAGTATGAAACATTTTCTAGTAAGTGTCTACAAAGATTTTTCAAATAAAAGCCCTTGGGTCAAAACTGACCCTGCCCCAGGTGTGTCATTGTTTTTAACTATATGTGTAAAGAAAAAAACTTGACCAGCTAGATCTTAGATGTTAAGCATGAAATATCTTCTAATGGGTGTCTACCAAGTTTGTTCAAATAAAAGCCCTGGGGTTTAAACTGGCCTCGCTCCAGGGGCCTATATACAGGTGAGCGACTTCAGGGCCATCATGGCCCTCTTGTTTTGGATTAAAGTGTAATAAAACAATTATTTATTTGTAAGAAAATAATTAAATATCTGACTGTATGAATAATTCAATACAAAAAAATAAAGTAAATACATAAGTTTCTGCAGAAAATTTCTCTATCTATTATGGCAGTTGCAACAACAACTGTTTTAATTTTACAGACTTTTATTATAAATAACCTTTTTTGTGGAAAATTTGCAATAGATAGTACAGGAACATTAATAATTTTCAAACACATAAGTTTTTCCACCATAAACCATAAAATAATAATTGAAAAAATGGAAATATCACATGTTAGTTGTGTTATAAATGTAATTCATTGGATGTACTTCCCCAGAGCTAAATCCGTAACATACCGGAAAACAGTGTTTAGCTAGGTTTTCGAAAAGGACAATTAATATGGTCAGCACTCAGTAATACAATGCAGCATGACCATGCAGTAATGTGTTATCATATTAAGGTAAACCCAAACAGTCTTTAGAAATATACCCTTTAACAAACAATCTATAGAATTATACAATAATCATTTTTTACTTTTCTATTATTTTTACATACTACATTTTAATTAACAGTTAATTGGATAGTTGGCATCTTATTATAGTCTTATGGCTTTTAGACTAGAAAAACTAAATTCTTGTTACTTAAAAATTACAGGGTCTAATCCAGTAAACTACTTGTAAGCAAGATAAACAGGTACAGAATATGAACGAGAAGACTGGTGATGATAACAAGACAACAAAAGAAAATGTAAGTAGCTTCACTTTGGTTTTACGGCACACCTACAAAGTATAGTTAGGTCATATGGCGACATTCCAGCTTTACTCGGTGCATTATTTCAGGCACAAATGGGCACCTCAGTAGAACCACCGAAGATCCGTAAGCTAGCTGAATTTTTATTATTAGCTTCCTCACAACGTCCTTGTTGGGATTCGAACCCACAGCGGTAAGGGGCAAGTGGTTTGAAGACGACAATTACCACTTGGCCTAAGACGCCTTTTATGTAACTTAAATGTATATCTTAATATCTACATGAAATTCTGGTTACTTCTGAACAGACATTTTGTGCATGGGACATTACTCCTGCATGCATGAAAGAATTTTTTTTTTAAATTAGTTAATGCAGCCACCTAGCCTGGGTTCCAGTCTGTTTTTTTATGTGCTTGTGTTCATCAAATTGACAAACATTAGGTTAGTGTTTTTGTTTCGCCTTGAAAAAGGCGACATATAGGGGTTACTTTTGTCAGCCTCGTAGTCCGCATCATTGTCGGCGTCCCCTTAAGCTTGTCCAGAGCATAAGTCAGTCATTATAAGTCGGAATGACTTCAAACTTGGTATGCATGCTTCTTATATTTGACCCGAAGTGCAGTGCATATGAACCGGTACTCTGCACTTCTTAATTTTTGAGTTATTGCCCTTTGTTAATTATCATACTTTATTTTTGTCTAGGCCATTTCTCCTAATGTATAAAAGCTATGGACTTGAAACTTCATGATAGGATGATAGATCTCATTAAGAAGAAGTGCAGTGCACAAGAACCGGTACTCTGCATTTCTTATTTTTTGAGTTATTGCCCTTTTATTATTTTAAATACTTTATTTTTATCCGGGCCATTTCTCCGAAAGTATAAAAGCTATGGACTTGAAACATCATAGAATGATAGATCACATTAAGAAGAAGTGCACTGCACAAAATCCGGTACTCTGCATTTCTTAATTTTTGAGTTATTGCCCTTTGTTTATTTTCATACTTTATTTTTATCCATGCCATTTCTCCTCAAGTATAAAACTATGGACATGAAACTTCATAGGATGATAGATCTCATTAAGAAAAAGTGCAGTGCACAAGAAAGGGTACTCTGCATTTCTTATTTTTTGAGTTACAGCCCTTTGTTAATTTTCATACTTTATTTGTGTCCAGGCCATTTTTCCTAAAGTATAAAAGCTATGGACATGAAAATTCTTAGGATGATAGATCTCATTAAGACGAAATGCAGTGCACAAGAACTGGTACCCTGCATTTCTTAATTTTTGAGTTATTGCCCTTTGTTAATTTTCATACTTTATTTTTGTCCATGCCATTTCTCCTAAAGTATAAAAGCTATGGTCTTTAAACTTCGTAGTATAATAGATCTCATTAAGAATAAGTGCAGTGTACAAGAATCGGTACTTTGCACTTCTTATTTTTGAGTTTACCCTTTATTAATTTTCGTACTTTATTTTTGTCTAGGCCATTTCTCATAAATTATAAAAAAAACTATGGACTTGAAACTTCATAGGATGATAGATCTTTTTCATAAGAAAAGCAGTGCACAGAAACTGCTGCTCTGCACTTCTTTTTTTTGAGTTATTGCCCTTTGTTGATTTCCATAGTTCATTTTTGTCCTGGCCATTTCTCCTAAACTGTATTGTTCACAAGGCGACACATCCGACTCGCGGAGTTCTAGTTATGCCCCCCACAAAGTGGGGAGCATATAGCGTTGCACTTGTCTGTCCGTCCGTACGTCTGTCAGACGTAACCAAATAGGGTTAGGAGGCCATCTAACAGTAAACAGAACAAAAGAGAACAATAGAGTTCATTCTGTAACAAAAGAATAAGGGGCCATGGCCCTCTATTAAACAAAAGAAAATAACAAAAGAAATGGCCCTTTAGTCCATTGAAGTGGCATGGACATATGTCTGTCCGTCCGTACGTCTGTCTGTACGTCCTGAAATCTTGTGAACGCAACTCCTCTTAAACCGGATGGCAGATTTTGCTTAAACTTTTAGGGATGAACAACCTTAATGTGTAGATGGTAGTGAAGGAAGGAATTTTTGCTGCGACCAAATTAAACAGAATTATAGCCCTTTGTTGATTTTTTCACTATATACTATGTAGAAATTTTGTGAACGCAACTCCTCTTAAACCGGATGGCAGATTTTGCTTAAACTTCCAGGGATGAACGACCTTAATGTGTAGATGGTAGTAAAGGAAGGAATTTTTGCTGCAACCAAATTTAAGAGAATTATGGCCCTTTGTTGATTTTTTCACTATATACCATATAAAAAATTTGTGAACGCAACTCCTCTTAAACCAGATGGCAGATTTTGCTTAAACTTCCAGGGATGAATGACCTTAATGTGTAGATGGAAGTAAAGTAAAGAATTTTTGCTGCGACCAAATTTAAGAGAATTATGGCCCTTTGTTGATTTTTTCACTATATACCATATACATGTATAAAAAAACAAAAACGAAGCGAAAAAGGCCTAATGCATTCCGCCTTGTATTTGGGCTACGGCCATGAGACTTGCAGGCTGTGTAGTATGTACATGTATGTTGTCAGTGGGGTCATCCGTGTCCTTTGGACACAGTTCTAGTTTAAGACATGTATCTGTATCTTTTTCAAAGTCCCAAAATTTTAAATGGAATATAAATTATTAAATGAATTAAGTGATAGATATATGCAAATAATGAAATGATCAAATTCTGGTTTATTTTCAGATGTTGTTGTTGTTAAGAAGATTTTTTCCTGTTCCTCGCAGAAGGGGCAGAAACATACTTGGATGGAAAATGTGCATAAACTTTGCATAAGTTTTGTTGAAACTTCAATTGATAATGAAGAATGCTGCAAAATATTGTTTGTTACAATATTTGAATGACTGTAAGAGATGTTGAGTGATTGGTATTCACACAGGTGCTGTGTTAGTGCAAAACAATGCAAGCATATGTTGAATGAACACACAAGATTGTGCCATACCATAAGGGAGCAGTATGTTCCGGATATTCTATTTGTATAAACCCAACACAACTACAATGTAATGTGGATATATACTAGAATCAGATTGTCTGTCTGTCTGTTTGTCTACCCATTGGAGATACTGAATTAACTTGTTAGATAGATCATGTATGTTATTGTTGTGGAAAGTAGTTCCTAGCAACTATATCTCTATTGCCTGTTGCAATTTGAAAAGAAGATTTTGTTTAATAGATGAAACTGGCTAGGTGTTACTATTTCAGCATTAGTATGATGTTAGATCATATATTACATGTACATCAATTTTTATATGCCCATTTGAAAAACAAGACATACAATGGGAACCTGGTTGGCAGGCAGTGTCATATTTTGTAAGCATTGTATTTTGGACGTCACAAACCAAAATCAAGGAGTAAATGACTCCCAAACTTCCACTAAAAGAAGCCCTGCCCATGCAGGGATTTTAATGAAACTTCATAGAAATTCTCACCAGATGAAAGGTCAAGGTCACACTTAGAAAACATTGATAAATGCTTATTAGGAGCAAAACGTGCGTCAATATCACTTCCCAAAAATGTTCACCATTGTGAGGCATAGCGTCACATGCTTAAGTCCAGTCCTTGTGGTCAAGGTCACATACAGAGGTTAAAGTTCAGATAAAAGTATTGAATGTGTAAAGGAACCATTTCGTCATCATTTGTTGAGGGATTGTTACACATATGGTCATTATCATGACTATGGCTGTGACACATGTATGTAATTTTGTTCAATATATGCAAGGTCTTGAAGGCCACTAAAGATGATAAAATATCCAGATTTTCACTGGAACATCTATATTCTCCTACATGCATGAAATAATTTTTTATAACATGTTTTTTCTATCTGATGAAATATGCTTTTGTATAGCATTTTGTTCGATCCAAAAAGGGATTCTTATAATACCAGATATAATTTTATCAGATTTTTTTTTGGTTCTTTCGACAAAACAACCGGTCAATTTTAATAGATTGAGTTCAACAGGTTTTTCTATCTCTTGCAATATGCTTTGGTATAGCAATTTTCTTTCATCAACTGAACAAAATGCCTATACCGGATTTTCTATCTGAATTTTTTTGTTCGGTAAACCAAACAAAATATCAATTTTTTTCATTGGATACAACATGTTTTTTCTATCCATTGAAAATTTAATGTTCTTTTGTATAGCATTTTTGGGGCATTTTTGTTCGATCAACTGAACAAAATGTCTTAAACAGGTATTTTCATTAGATGCAAAATTTTAAGATTGACTATTCGCAGAATAATGAGAGCTATTGTAGTCACCCCGGCGTCCACGTCGGCATTAGTTAAAGTTTTTGTAAAGTCAAATATCTCAATAATTGCTTGAGATACTCAATTGAAACTTACAATACTTATTTATAGTAACATTATTATGATTGTACATCAGAATGACAAGTTGGATAACTCTGCCTACAATAATTACAGAATTATGCCCCTTTTTAACTTAGAAATTTTGGTCAAAGTTTTTTATAAAGTCAAATATCTCAATTATTGCTTGAGAGATTCAATTGAAATTTAAAATACTTTTTCAAAGTAACAATGTACATCAGTCTGCAAAGTTGCATAACTCTGCCTGCAATATTTGCAGAATTATTTGCCCCTTAGAAACTTAGAAATTTGGTTAAAGGTCTTCAAAGATATTTACTTGAAACTTTACACATGTACTTAGGGTCATAATTGAAGGTCACATCTCAAGATTCATTACTCTGCCATGTATTTTTACTAAATTATGCTCCCTTTCATGCTAAAAAAATCTTTTTTTCTTGGTTAAGTTTAACATGCAAGTTTTTGCATATCTCTGAAACTATTAAAGATACAAACTTGAAACTTCATATGTATATTTGTGGTTATATATAATGATCACTGAACAGCACTCATATCTGTGTCATGTATTTAGGCTGATTTATCTCCCCCTTTTTACTTAGTCTCTTGGTTAATGTTTACATGTAAGTTTTACATATCTCAATAACTATCAGAGATTTTGATTTGAAACTTCACATATGCATGAAGGGTCTCAATTGTATGTCTCTGACCAAGTTCCATAACTCTATCTTGCATTTAGGCTGATTTATCTCCCTATTTCTACTTAGTCTCTTGGTTAATGTTTACATGCAAGTTTTACATATCTCAATAACTATAATATTAAAGATATTTATTTAAAACTTCACATATGCATTTAGGGTCATAATTGTAGGTCACTGACCAAGATCCATAATTCTATCTTGCATTTAGGCTGATTTTTCTCCCCTTTTTATGCTCCCCGAAGGGAGAGCATATAGTCGCCACCTTGTCAGTCTGTCCGTCCGTTGTCTTGTCCGTAGCATAACTTGAAATCCTTTGAGATAATTTGTTTAAACTTCATACAGTGGTAGAGGGCATTGAGGGGGAGTGCAGTGTCAAAGAACCATAACTCTGTTTGCCCGGTTTTTGAATAATCTCCCCTTTTAGAAAAATCTTGTCCGGGAGATATTTTATTTTTGTGAAAAAGTAAGTTATCAAATCTAAAGATAATTTGCTGCAATATTCCTTCCAAATGTTAACATAGTATTCATCATAAAAAGCACCAAAGACTTTAAGTAAAAATTAAATTAAGATAGACAGACTCAATAAATCTTTACCCTAAAATATCCTTATTAAAATCTTTTATTACTTTGTATTTATTTACTAGTAAAAGAGCAAAATAAACACTATTAATTAATTTCTTCTATTCTAAAAAATCCCATTTCAAGTGAAAAAAGTGATATTGTTTATTATAAGCACCATAAAAAGTTGTTATTTACTTTGGTTTAAATTGAACAGAGGTGTGAAGGTGTGAAAGGCAACAGAAGACTGTTGTGTTTTAAATAAAAGATGTTTGCATTGTATTTATACAGTTGACTGGTTACAAAACAGTTAGATATGACATGAATTTATGTTGTAAATATTGTTTGTAAAAAGTATGTTAAAACTATAAAGTTGTAAATATGTTATGTTAACTTTAAAGCAGCACGCCTCCAGAGTCCAGATTCATCCGAATTTTCATGAAAATTTTGAAAAGTATTTAAAGGTAAAATATTGTTAAATGAACAAAGATAGTACTTGACACATTACAATCGGCACTTAAAATCCACGTTAATTACCAAAAAGAGGTCAAATTAATCATGCATAAATAGCCCCTACTCCGTTAGTAACGCAGTAGAAATATGGTGATAAATACTACAAAATACAGTCATTAATTGCACATAAGATATAAATCTTTAATTTGTTTACTTTTGTCAAAGTTTTAGTAATTTTTTTCCAAGTTTAAATTTTCTTGAAATATTTTGAGTCATCTGGAGGCATGCAGCTTTAAAGTAAATTATGATTTTATTTCTTTGCTGAATAATATTTGCAATTATTTGTTTGACGCTGTATTTATTCAAACTTTGATGAATATATAAAAGTAATGGTACTGATACTTAATTACTTCACCAAAAAAAAGTACTGGTACTGCAGTACCGAGCTAAAATCTAGTACTGGTACTGGTAATGGTACTGCATAATTTGCCAAGTACTGGTACTGGTACTTAAGTACTACACCCTTAGTACTGATGCAGCTCTGTCCGGGACATAACTCTAAAACTATAAGAGATATCAACATGAAACTTTGTAGGTAAAATAGATCTCAATGGGAAGATGTGCAGTGCACAAGAACGATAACTCTATTTTGCCTGATTTTTTGAATAATCTCCCCTATTAGAAAAATCTTGTCCGGGACATAACTCTAAAACTACAAGAGATATCAACATGAAACTTTGTAGGTCAATAGATCTCAATGGGTAGATGTGCAGTGCATAATAATCATAACTCTTTTTTGCCTCATTTTGGAGTTATTGCCATTTGTTAATTTTAACACTTTGAACTTTGTCCGGAACATAACGCTAAAACTGTAAGAGATATCAACATGAAACATTGTAGGTAGATAGATTTCATTGAGTAAAAGTGCAGTACAGAAAAAAAACATCACTCTGTTTTGCACAAATTGTGAATTATCTCCCCTTTTAAAAAAATCTTGTCCAGGAAATAACTCTCTTTTTTACCTAATTTTGTAGTTATTGCCCTTTGTTAATTTTAACACTTTGATCTTTGTCCGGAACATAACTCTAAAACTGTAAGAGCTATCAACATGAAACATTGTAGGTGGATAGATCTCATTGAGATAAAGTGCAGTACAGAAAAAAAAAACATAACTGTTTTGCCCAATTTGTGAATTAATCTCTCCTTTAAAAAAATCTTGTCCAGGAAATAACTCTAAAACTACAAGAGATAAGATGTGCAGTGCATAAGAACTTGAACTTCACCTTGCCAACTTTTGTAGTTATTGCCCTTTGTTCATTTTTACATTTTGAACTTTGTATGGGACATAACTCAGAAACCATAAGAGGTATCAACAAAAAACTTTGTAGGTTGATTGATTGCATTGATAAGAAGTGCAATGCAAAGAACAGTTACTCTGCCTTGCCTTATTTTTGAATTATTGCACTTTGAAATTTTTCCAGGGACATAACTTTAAAACTACAAGAGGTGTACTTTCCTGTGTCCAAAACCTATTTTGGGAGCATCACCCGGCTCAAACAGGGCTCTTGTTCAACTTAGAAATTCATGGTAAAGTTTTGTTTGTAAGCTTTGTAAGCTGTTATCTCCATAACTACTGAAGGGTTTGTGCCTTTTTTGGACAATTTATGCATTCATAATAATAAAGCAGTGATTTACTTGATAAAACATCTTAATAAAACGCCTTTGTACCTTTTCTGTCAATTTTATGTATTCATAGGTTAGCATTATTATACTCAATAAAACACCCTTGTGACAACTTTTTCAAATAGTCGAGCCTTACTGTTCTTGTTTTCTATTTAATGAAATGTGCTTTTTGTGTAGCATTTTTGTTACATCTTTTCTCTTTTTTTTTTGATGTATCAAACAAAATGTTTATTTTGAATTTTTTATTTGATTTAACAAGTTTTGGTAATGAAAACAATTTTGTTCGGTAATCGAACAAACTAATAAGATGTTTGCCTGTTTTGTTTGATGGAAAAAAATATCGATTCTGAAATCCAATGAAAACAAATATATATTATCTTCTTTTTTTTCAATCGGTATTTTGTTTGATTGGTCCTTTAATGTTTATCTTAAATTTTTTATTTGATATAACAAGTTTTGGAAATGAAAAGAAATCTTGAAACAAACAAACTAATAAGATGTTTGCCCTTTTTGTTTGATCGATTGAACAAAATGTTTCTTTTAAATTTTTCATTTAGTTTAACCAGTTATGGAAATATAAAGAAATTTTGTTTGATCAAGTCTTTGTAATGAAATGAAATTTTGTTTGGTCGACTGAATAAACAGGTTTTAAGATGTTTTGTTTTTTTGTTATTAGCTCACCTGTCGATCAAACAAAGAAAAAAGATGTTTGCCCTTTTTGTACAAAATCGAACAAAATATATATTTGTTTAGTACAGATTGAGAGAGAAATTTTCCAATACAGTGTTTGAACATTTTTGTTCGATCTTTCGAACAAAATGTTTGTTTTAAATTTCATTTGATTTAACAAGTTTTGGTAATGAAAAGAAAATTTGTTCGATCGATCGAACAAAATCTTTTTGTGTTTTTAGTACAGTTTGAGAGAGAAAATTTCAATACACTGTTTAAACAGTTTTGTTCGATCGATCGAACAAAATATTTATTTTAAATTTTTATTTATTTGACCAGTTTTTGGAAATCAAAAAAATTTTTGTAAAAAAATATATATTTGTTCGATCGATCGAACAAAATTTTAATTTTTTTAGTACAGATTGAGAGAGAAATTTTCAAATACAGTGTTTGAACATTTTTGTTCGATCGATCGAACAAAATGTTTGTTTTAAATTCCATTTGATTTAACAAGTTTTGGTAATGAAACAAAATTTTTGTTCGGTCGATCGAACAAAATCTTTTAGGGTTTTTTTTTTTTTACAGTTTGAGAGAGAAATTTTTCAATACAGTGTTTGAACAGTTTTGTTCGATCGATCGAACAAAATGTTAATTTTTTTAGTACAGATTTGGAATGAAATTTTCAAATACAGTGTTTGAACAAATTTTGTTCGATCGATCAAACAAAATGTTTGTTTTAAATTTCATTTGATTTAACAAGTTTTGGTAATGAAAAGAAATTTTGTTCGATCGATCGAACAAAATCCTTTGTTTTTTTAGTACAATTTGAGAGAGAAAATTTCAATACAGTGTTTGAACAGTTTTGTTCGATCGATCGAACAAAATATTTATTTTAAATTTTTCATTTATTTGACCAGCTTTGGAAATGAAAAAAATTTTGTTCGATCGATCGAACAAAATACATATTTGTTCGATCGATCGAACAAAATTTTAATTTTTTTTAGTACAGATTGAGAGAGAAATTTTCAAATACAGTGTTTGAACATTTTTGTTCGATCGATCGAACAAAATGTTTGTTTTAAATTTCATTTGATTTAACAAGTTTTGGTAATGAAAAGAAATTTTGTTCGATCGATCGAACAAAATCTTTTGTGTTTTTAGTACAGTTTGAGAGAGAAAATTTCAATACACTGTTTGAACAGTTTTGTTCGATCGATCGAACAAAATATTTATTTTAAATTTTTATTTATTTGACCAGTTTTGGAAATCAAAAAAATTTTGTAAAAAATATATATTTGTTCGATCGATCGAACAAAATTTTAATTTTTTTAGTACAGATTGAGAGAGAAATTTTCAAATACAGTGTTTGAACATTTTTGTTCGATCGATCGAACAAAATGTTTGTTTTAAATCTCATTTGATTCAGCAAGTTTTGGTAATGAAAAGAAATTTTGTTCGATCGATCGAACAAATAAAGTTATAAGAAGGTTGCCCTTTTTGTTCGATCGATCGAACAAAATATATATATTTGTTCGATCGATCGAACAAAATGTTTGTTATATGTATTTATTCAATGTTTTAAGTCAAATTTTTAATAAAATTGAATGAAAAAAAGAGTCACTTGTTCTTTTTTGTATTCGTATTTGTGAAAAATAACTCCAATATTTACACCCAAAAACCCTATTTTAAGGCTAAAAAGAGGGACTGATTGGACAATCCCTTTTTATTTTGGAACGAGATATTAGTAAAAACATACAGCAGGTAGTTTAGATGTCGATAGCAGTTGTATGTTAATTTATTCAAAATGTCTGACCAACATCCAACCGCAGAAAACATAATCAATCTCTAGATGTTGAAATTTTCTGGATTAAAACACATTGTTTCCATCTTTTAAATCATTTTACTTTTAAAGGTTATCAAATAACAAAACTTTATGTCCAATGTTTTGCAGATCACAACAGATGTGACAAAAAACAAGGAGATCAAAGGAAGAACAAAATGGACATGCATTGTACCAAGGGCATTATCCTATTGCGTTGTGTCCTCTAACGAAGGTTGTAAAGCATATTGTTGGGG